CCATGCAAAGGGTCATCCGATTGCAAAAAAACAACATATATATAAGTAGGTGGCACGGCTAACTTAGAAATCAACAGCAGAGCCGTGCAAGTCTCAGTCCATACCATTATATTGAGATGTTTAGAAGAAATTAATTCAGACGCCCGGTCATGCTTATGTTTAATAAAACGTTTTGTAAGCCAATAACCTTGCATTTGTTATTATTAATATTCTTTCAGATATTTCTCAGAGGTTTTAAATTAAATGCTTTGTTGAACCAGTTCGACTTCAGCTTTTGTTTGAATTTCTTTATAGGAACAATTTGTCCAGCTCAAATTTTCTACGTCAATCCTTTAAAATTTTCTGGTTCACCACCAAGAATGCAGCTGTCAGCAATAACTGCCATCTTGTAAGAAATTCTTTCACGCACCGGCAACCAATAAAGATTCTCCACCTACCAAGTTATGTGATCACGTCTACCAAGCCCAACAACCAGATACTTCGTCAATATTTTATTACCAAATCAAACCGATTAGAGTTAGTTTCCAACGATTAACAGCTTTTGATTTTTTTTTATTCAGCCAAATCATTTTTGATATCAGAGATACAAACAGCTACATTTTAATTTAGTTTTCTTTAGCTATCTAAAGCGTCATGATAATTATCAATAATAATCAATAAGAAAAAGTGATTGAAAGTGATTTATTTTACAAAGTAAAACTAAATTGAAAGTTAGCGGAGAAAATTACTCAACTAAATAACATTGTGAGAGAATGGTATCTCGTTGTAGCATCTAAGTATTTTGTTTACTCACTAGTTCCTAATGATTAAAAGAAACACATCGAACTTTCGGATGTTTGCGGTACATAATCACAGAAAGGAAACTCATTTATTGTAAATATTAAAAATTTATTTGCCAGTGCCTTTTTGAATTAAAAATCACTTCAAATAGTGCTTGTAATCTGATCCAATCATTTTCTACTGCTAATGGCACCACTTCTTCAGCCCGACTATTCATATCACCATCATGAGAATTGGATATTTTTTTCAATTTCAGTAATTTTTGTTTTATAAAAACGGATTTATATATGAAATTTCAAGAAACTTGAAAATTTTGTTAAATGGAGATTTTTGTTGTACAGATGAGGCTTATATAAAATGCAATATTACTTGACTAGTGCTTCAACCTGGCCGTATAATTTGAACTCCGGCTCTTTACACCATCCTATGAAATTTTGTTTTCTATGTTTATTAGATTGATAAATTGAGTTATATAAAACTAATGGCACTTTTTATTAAATGCATTTTTTAGATAAAAAATGTTCGAAAGGTGTTTGAAGAACTTGTTACATTACTTGATTTTATGATGATGGATCGCGATTATAAAATAACAAAAATTGCAATTATAGACATACTTCATTTGTATAATTGTTTGAGAATCAATGGAGCTGTTGCTGGTTTAGAAAAAAAAATCTCTGATGTTTTCTACAATGGAGCGTTATGCTTTTATAAACAAGTAACTTTATTGAATGAAATTAAAAATTATTTAATATAATGACAATCTTTTTTAAAGGAAAAATTTGATATCTCGAAGAAATTCTGTGAAATGTGTAAGTATCTAGAAAGATTTATAGTAATTTTGATATTGAAATTTAAAATAACTGCTTTTTAAGAGCATTACTACCACAGTCGACTTTTAACGACTTGCCTGCACACATTCGTCGCCTAGCGCGGCCGTAAATTAAAATTATTTTGTTTGATAATAAATTAATATAAATAAAATTCATATATAATAAAGATAATAGTGTCCAACTGAGACTGGGATTTTTGTTTCAGCCGAAACCGAAACTTCGGCCAAAACAGGTTTATTTAGTCGAGACTTCAGTTGGATACAAGATACAAAAGATACATAGCTTATACTGCTCCTACTAACTACAATAGAACTAACGAAACTTGAAAATGATTTACGATCAATCGTTAGAAAAATCGAAAAGTTATATTGGAAGTTGACAAATATATATATATATATATATATATATATATATATATATATATATATATATATATATGCATGGAGACACAGAAGCTCAAACGATCTTGTACGGCCACCCAACCCAAACCAAATAAAAACACATACCTACATGAAAATAACAACATAAATGAAAATAAAATCGTATAGCTAGCCAATGAAAACAAGTTAATGATTTTAATGTTGAATAGTTAAAATTATGTTTCAATTAATACAAATTACTTAGAAATTGATTAATTCTTTAAGAGCAAAGACAATATGGGATGACCATGACAAATTACTTTGTAATTGAATCCCTAGAAATTTAATTGAATCAGCACGCAAAATATCGAGATTGATTAAACTAATTTTCAAATCTTGAGTCCCTTTTTTAGAATTGTTGGTCCGAAAATCGTGTAAGCACATTTTTCAACATTAATTGCCAGGTGATTCATTCTAAACCATTCATCAAATTTTGAGATCTCTAAATTTATCAAAGCATTGTCTTCATTCAAGTTACGTGATGAGTAAAATAAATTTATATCATTGGCAAAGAGAATACAGCAGTTGACAATTGATGAAGCTTTAGGTAAATCATTAATGAATAAAAGAAACAAAAGAATGGAACCTTAAGGGACTCCACAATTTACTGATAAAATTTAGGAGCTAGAACCGTTCACGTGTACATATTATGATCTATTAGAGAGGTAACTGCTGAACTAATCTAATACTTGTCTACGACAGCTATAATGGAACAATTTGCTTTAAAGTAATTCATGGTTGATTGTGTCAAAAGCCTTAGATAAGTCGATGAACACTCCCACAGTCATTTTCTTATTTTCAAGACTTTTCAGATTCAGTTGGTTGAATTTAAGAATGGCTAGATCTGTTAAGTGGTACTTTTTAAACCCATACTGGTGGTTACTTAGGATAGGATATTACAACGGGCAATAAACGTAGTTAATCTGTTGAAATCTGCTTTTCCTAGAATTTTTGAAAAAGAAGGACCTCTAAAGGACCTCTACAATGCCAAAAGTTAAGAAATTGGCCTATAGTTTCCCACCAAATCTGGATTGTCTTTTTTTAAGACAGGGATTATCTTAGAAACTTTGAAGAGATCTAGAAAGGTGCCTGATTTCAAGAAAGTGTTACATTTGTGAGTAATTGGGGTAATCAACTCATCTATGAATAATTTAACTATGAATATACTTTAAGTGTCATTTGAAATCGATTTTTTTTTATTTAATTTTTTTACTATTGAAAAGATTTCTTGATAATACATTTCATGAAAAATCATTGATTTGACGTTTGATTCCGTTAATATTCTATGCTCTGGAAATAAATAACTGCCAAATTTGTTGAATATTGTCAATGGATTTGATAAAGTTTTCATTTAAAAAGTTGCAAATATTTGGATTTGATGAAGTTTTCATTTAAAAAGTTGCAAATATTACCATTTGATGAAATAAATGAGTCACCGTTTTTTAGGCGTTTGATATATGACGATTTTTTTATGTTGAGAATTTCATTAATCAATTGCCATTTTGCTTTTAGATCTGTCATAAAAAAAGAATTTATTTTTATAATAGTTTTTTTATTGAACGCTTGGTATTTTTAAAGAAATTTCTGAAAGATTTGTAGGCTTTGGAGTTAACATCATTAAGATTTTTGATGTATTTATGAAATAAGAAGTTTATACGTTTTAATAACTTTAAGATTTCTACGTTAAACCAAGGCTTGTTATAATATATATTTATGTGCGTGCGTGCGTGTGTGTGTGATATTTGTGTGTATGTTTGTAGATGTTTGTGTGTGTGTGTGTTTGTAGGTGTGTGTTTGTAGGTGTGTATGTGTGTGTGTTTGTAGGTGTATGTATGTACGTACGTGTTAAATTTGCTGATAAATTTTAATAGTTACTCTTCGTAGATTGTAGATGTGTCTTGTGAGCGTTTGTAATAATGTGTGGTTGAATACAATGGTGAAGTGATAATGATGTGATGATGGTAGTAGTGATAATGATTTGTATGATGATTTGTTATCGATTAGTAAAAAACACTGCAACGTTATCAGGTACATGTGTTTTAAATTTATAAGTTCGCTTTCGAGAGCCTGATTTATTTATCTAAAATAGAAAAATTATATTCCAGGTACAAATACAAAAACTATTAACACACAATAATAAGACTGACTACGCGTAAAGTATTTATATAGGATCGTACAAGTCACGCTATAAACAAAGAATAGGAATTCAAAAAATACTGTAACATAGATAGTTATATGAAATATAATTTACATCTCCCTCTTCAAGTCACTTTTTAAGGTACATAAAGTGACAGTTTATTGACGTGAAAAAAGTTTGATTCTTTCTTCTTCTTTCCACAGTCTCCTTTGAAAATAGACGGTGACATTTTTTTAAGAACTTTCAACGGGCAACTTTGTCCATTTTACTTGGATTGAGTTTACTCCCATTCTGGGCATAGATCTGATCGGCCACTTTAAATTCGTATTCTTGACGATTCTTGTTTATTTCACTTTTCATCATTTCTGCTTCGTCATCTGATTGATGGTTAGTATCATGTATATTAATTTTTTTTTGACGAGTAGAGATTCTTGTTTCTACATTCATTTGATGGATGGTATCGATTTTTTCAGCTAATTTTTCTCACATAGAACATGGTTTTTTTGCTGTGGTATTTGATCTGAAAAAATTTTCTTTATTTACAGTATCAATTTCATATTTCGGCTTGATGTTAGTTAGAGACGCATTCGTCAATTTTTGTTAATTTTTTAAACAGTTTTGAAGTTATATCTCAATGGAAGTTATTTCTCTATCATGCTGGTTTTGTATTTCTACGGGAAGGCCCATAACGATCATGTTTATTCTCGACATTGTAGTAGCGTTCATTTCAATTTCTAAACAGATTTTTTTGCTAAGATGTAGTCTATTAAAGAACCGCCTAAATATTTGAAGTTAAATGCGGCTCTTATTTTTCTCCAACCATTATCTGCAAAAATGGTCAGAAAGGATTTTCTCCATTCTGGCCATTTAGTTAATTCCATCTTTTTTAAATTTGTTTTGTACCAATATTGTCATTTTAATAAAAGCATTATTTACAATATAAATAAATTTCAACAAATTTGAAAAATCGGATAAAAATGTATCGGGCGAAGTTTTCATCGTTCGGACGAATCATCCTGTAAAGACGGAACAATGCTATATAACTACACTGATGATGGCAGTTGATGCCGAAAAGAGCTTTTCTGTAGTAAAAACGTTATTAATAATGTTTTGTCAAAAATGTCAAAAATATAAAAAGTTTTTTATTTAACCTTAATAAACTTCATCAAGACGATAAAAGTCTCGTTAGAAAAATTGAGAAACTCAACTACAAGTTGAATAATGCCGAAAACGCAGTGATCTTTATAAATAACTTCATTTATGATAGTCTAAATTCAATATATATATATATATATATATATATATATATATATATATTATGTACATATAAAATAAATGTGTAAATTTTGGGTTTATACTCTATACATTTTTTTTATTCTCGCAAGTACTTAGAAAGAAATTTCTTAAAAAGAATCAACAGTGCGGTAAAAACTGTTTCATCACCGATTAAATTTTAATTAATATATTTCTTTGTGTTGAATAAAATTAATATCAAAATTTAATTTCAGCTTATTTGATTTCTGGCTTTCATGTTGGAATTAAACTTATTGAGTCACGAATATTATTAGAAAAAAAGGAGCTGAAGAAAGCTTTAATTGAACTAGAAACCTGCAAGAAAATTGGTTTCTGTGACATTGTCTTTGTTAGAAATTTTATCAAACAATTGTTTATATGTTTAGATTTTGTTTATAAAATGAATAATTTAATTTCCAATTAGGAAATAATGTACGAAGAACTAAAATTCGAAATTACATTCGAGCTTGAAAATGAAGAGAGTAAAACAATTAAAGATGAAACTAAGAAAAACACTAGTGACAGTGAAAAGTTTCTGACACGACCGAATAAAAATGCGTCAGTGAAAAAAAACTGCTTGAGAGAGGCTATAAAAAAGTCATGCGAAACGGAAATGCTAACGGAAATTCCAACTTCTCAAAACAAAACCGATGACATTCCAAAGTCAACATTCCCAGATGGGAGAGAAGATAATGGAAACATTAAAGTTAACACCATACCACTTGCTTGCAATAAAAGAGCAAAAACAATTGATAAACCAGAAAAAATTGTCTACAAAAAATGTCAGTTGTGCAAGGTTAATATAGACGAAACAAAATGGAGCGTCCACGTGAATGGCAAAAAACACAAACGCAAGACAAAATTTAGTAACTTGTTGCAGAAAGATTTTGAAAAAAATAAAAAATTAACAACAGCGGTAGAAAACGAATTTTCTAATCTTAGTGAAAAAAGTGAAACGGATTCTGAAACAAATTCAGAGTGCAATGAAAAATTAAAACTTGAAAACGTGCTACTCAACTCTAGTAACAACTGCTGCCCGCACGATTTGGAGGAAGATAATGATTTTCAAATAAGTACGAAAAAAAAGAAACGTAAAAATAAAAAAATATTTTCTGAGAAATTAAATATTTCAGAGCAAATTGAAACCCAGTCTTACCCTTTAAAACTTGATGATTCTTGCAATAAAATAATTATCAACAAAATGAAAAATGAAACTGACAGCAGCATAAACAAGGATTGCAACATAACAAAAAAATCTTGGACAACAAAACTTGAAGAGAAATGTTTGGCCGACAGAAGAAATTCTTCTAACATTTTAAATGGACCATCCCATTTGAAGCCTGAAGGATATTTTCCGTTGTCAATTGCCATCTATGACATAAAACTGTGCTGCCTAAAAAATCATCATCAAAATTTATTTCATAATTGTCCGGAAGAAATTATTTGTGTTAAACAAAAGAGGAATGCTGAATGGATTCCAATAAGAGATACGCCAAAAAATAATGAAATATTTAAAAGTTACAAATTATGTAATTTTTTTCCGAGATGTCCACGAGAAAATAAATGTAACTTTGCTCACTCCACTGAGGAACAAACAGTTTGGAATGCTATAAAAAAAGGAAAGTTCTCTCATGAAAATTTTGTTGAGAAGCACCAATCCATTTATATACAAAAAGAAAGCACGCTGAAGAAAATAGTGCATGAATACAAAGGTGGTTTAATATGGGCTTGTAAGTCATGCTTTGAATTGAAAAACACCATACGAGGAGTGAACCTGAATGATAAAAAATGTACCAGCAGCCATGACTCGCATCAGTTGGGAAGAAACACGATAATTGTTATACATCAACGAACGGACGACAAGTCGTTTACGCCCATTTATTTACCATCAAAAAGTTCCATTTTAGAAATTTGCTCTGAATTGAAGTTTTGTACCAATAAAAGTTGCTGTCGGAGACCACACTCAAATTTAGAATATGATGTCTGGAAGTATATAATCAATAAAAATTTGACAACTGAAGAATTTTTCGACCAAGTAAATTGAATTAACGTGTATTTATTTATTAATAAACTTTTATTTCTTATGTTTCTTAATCCAATAATGAAACAAATGTAAATAACATCGAAGCACCTGAGTTAATATAGCAAAATATAGATGAAATGAAAATAGAAAATCAATTTAAATGCATTTCACGTGTTATTATACCTCTGAACGGGAACTACGTTAATTATTTGGAACAAAAATATTGTAAACAACTAAACATTTAAAATTTTTTAATGGAAAATTTAAGTAGGGTCTAAATCATTTAATCATTTTAGTCTTGTTTTTTTGGATTCTTTTTCGTTGGCATAGGAAATAATTGTATTTTCAAGAAATTTATCAAAAAGATGATTACCAGAAAATATTTTAAATAACTGTTATAATTGCTGCAACTCATTGCTGCAATTTTTGGAAATAATAACAACAATAGGATGTACTTTGTAATGCTTTTGCTCTATTTTTGTAGAAAATGAGCATTGATGCAAACCCCGCAAATTTGCTGATTTGTCATTTTTATGGTAAGTCACATAAAATCTTTCAATGTTTTAAAACACGTAGCTAGCTTATTACGAATACTGCAATAAATGAATGACGCGTTGAACATAACTGCATGACGCTATCCAAAAAATTATTATATTTAATTATGCGTTAATAATAATAGAAACAGAAAGGAGGTTGTATAGTCAATGTTCCGTTCATGAATTTGTTAAAATTTGGCATTAATCAGTTCGTAACTATTGCGGGATGTTTTTAACTGAAATTGCATGAAAGCTAAGGGACTAAAGTCAGTTGTAAGAAAGTTTCTAGAAATTTGGAAATACCCTATATAAAAGTTATAAATGATTTCTGATAGTTTTTTCATTGATAATTTACATATAATTGATGTAACCATATTCGCTGTTTTCAAGTATAAACAGTTAATTTTGAGAAACGAACCTAACAATTCGAAAACTCCAAGTCCTCCTTACACCATCAGAATAATTTGTAAAGTTTGTTGGTCTAAAAACAAAATCCAACTTTGTGATAACAAAAAAAGTTCTACCTGGTCATGCCAGCACAAAAGTTCGGATAATGTCATGTATTTCATTATGAATGTTAAAAAGCAGTTACGACCGCTTCCTGTAAGATGTCCAATCAACAACATTTTTTTGATATGTTGGAATGTTCAAAGAGGTCATTGTAGCTATCCAAATTGTCAATTCGCTCATTGCAAAGAGGAAAAAGAGATGTGGCAATGGATGAATGAAAATAATAGTTAGTTTTAGCGTTAGACAAAAAATGAAGTCAAAAAAATAGCCAATTTTGCTTTCATTGATTAATATTTTTTCATTTAAATTTAAACATGAAATAATGTTTGATAAAACAATTTAAAATGTTTCAGTGAAAAACTTAGACGAAGTGGCAGATATATTCACGTTTGAAGAAAAAATTGATGCTGTTAAGAGAAATGTGGTGACATCAAGCACCTCTGCTATCCGGTTTGCATGGAACCTCCCTCAGCTTGTTTCTCAACCAGCAGCCATCCCAATGAAAGAGCAGTTCTATTGCTTTTACTGCGATAAAACGTTTAGTGGAAAAAAGCAGCAGAAAGATCACAACAACAGTTTGAAACATTTAGAAAACATTCGAAGAGACGATGACTTTCAATGGAATTTTAGAACACCACCCTTAACTTCTGTTTTTAAACTTTGCGAAAAGTCAGTTGAATGAAAGATTTAGTATTTTTCATTATTGTTTTTAATCTGCTTTTTATAATAAATTTAGGAATGAAAAGAATTTCTGTTTGTACTCTGGAGTTCCAATGGAGTATAACTTTTGCACTTCTGCTCACGGTCAGAATGAACTTGATGAGTGGCTTCTAAGACAGAAATGGAAAAACAAAAAATGGAAAAAAGCTGAGCAAGATCATTTAATCTCTGTCGCATGTGAACTGAAACAAGAAATAAAAGCAGCCGATGAGATTACTGAAATAGTAATAAATATTTGTTAGAAACTATATATTTTTCATACAAACTGCTATTGTTAAACAGGTTGTTGCCGATCGTGTGGATGTCGTCATTGAAGTAACACCTGATTTGAGTTTGGCAATATCTGATAAATCTCGAAAATTACGCTGGATATTTAAAATAACTACAGTATGTACCAAAAACCTTTCTTCTCAACAAATAAAACCATTTGTTTAAACATATATCAATAATTTTTGTAAAAAGAACGGAGGGACTAAAGATTGACAAGAATGTCTTTAAAACCAACTTTAAAAATGAAAAGCTTAATTTTTTCAGATTAAAGAAAAATTAAAACGAGTTTATCTTTTGGAGGGATATGGCTGGAGAAATTTTTCGCTTTTGAAGGATGGAGAAGAAAAACAGATATTGGAAGCAACGGATTTGCATTGCTCAAATAACGAATACACTGTTGCAGTGAACTTTGAAGGTGGAATGTACGGATGCTTCAATCAAACCTTACTGTTGGAATTTGAAAGCAGACCAGCTGTGATGAAAACAGTTCGTGTCAATGTTGGCTCAGCTGAATCTCTTCAAAATTTTACAGCAGTCACACGTAAAGTAACTTTCGAAAGGTAATAATTGTTGTTCTTTGATAATTTAATTTAATTTACGTAATTCATTTAAAATAGCATCAAAATATTTTTCATCAGATGGAATGATGGAAATCGCAAAATTGTATGGGATCCATCCGTTCACAGAACGGATCCCGATCTTTTAAAAAAATACAATTGCAACAACGGCGACAAGATATTTGAAAACTATTTATTATTGAAGTCTCTCAACCATAACAATTATAAAACAACCATGCACAACTTTTTATATATGGAAGAGTTGGCGCAGCTCAGCCTAGTGTCGAAGTAATTGAACAAAGACGTCAATATTTTATAATTTATTTCAATTATATTATTTGATGTAGGTATAACATGATTGCAAAAGTTGAAATATCAAACAAGATAGAGAGTGATATGGATGGCTGGCAATTTAGTTACCCTGGTGAACTCTTTGGCACAGTGAAGCTATCTTCAAACGTGCAAGAAGGTTTGCACATTTTTTTTATTCAGATTACTTTTTTCTTTTTTTATTTAGATAAAACTTCAAAGTGAACAAAAATTTGAAGGTTCATTATTGTTAACGTCCGTTTCGAGCGTTTTGTTCGGTCCAGTCAATGACAGCAATAGTAAGGTTTACGAAGTCAAATTAGCTAAGCTGGACAACTTAAACTTGAAAAGTCTCAACAAAGATGTCGTTTATTTGTCAATAAACAGCGAGTAAATGTTACAAATTAAAAATTCATGAAAGTGTTTTTTTGTTAGCATTTAATTTAAAATGTTGCAGGTGTTGTAAATCAATGAATTTGGAAAAAGGTTCCATTTGTGACGCTGAAATACAGTTTCAGCTTGATCGGACTTCTTTTTGTCACATGCATCTGGCCATCGACAAAATTAAACATCTGGACTACCTTTTTCCAAACATCAGAATTTTAGAAGCAAATAGTTCAATCAATCGAGATTGTTTAAAGTAAACAAATAGTTATTCCAAATTTTTTAAACAAAATAAGTAAATTGCGAGTTGTTGAAGTTTTTTGATGTATGTATGTATGTATGTAAAATAAATTTGTTTAACAAAATTAATTTTAATAATAATAATATCTTCAACAACATGCATAAATTTGTTTAACAAAATTGAATTTTAATGTTGCTTATTCTCGAGCATTTCGACTGGACCAAATTTTTACTCTTGTCCATAAAGAGCCGTAAATTGCTCAGAAATTCATGTTTGCAGATTTGACTCCCTACAAATCGCCGAGTCTTCTATGATCACTTTTTTATTTGTAATTGTTTAATGATTCCCAATCTGACTGCTTCAGTTAAATGAAATGTTTTTAATGCTTACATTTTTACAAATTTCCTGCTTCATTGCTGACTTATTAATTATGACAATAAATAACAAATTTTATTTAACCAGTTGAATTGATGCTTGCTTTCGTTGCATTTTTGTTCAAAACTGCCAAAATAATTGCAATCTTAGAATAAAATATGTTAATGAACAAATTTCAATATTTCGTCTTTATGTACGTAACTCAAAAACAAAATATTACACAATGTTATATATTGCGATTTTAATCACGTTCATTTTATTAATGCGACTAATCAGATCAGAAAAACTTAACGAGAAGCAGAATGAGATTTTGGCTTATGTGTCTCAGCCATGCCCATCATTTCTGCCGCCGCTGGTAGTTTATGGGCCTTTTGGGACAGGAAAAACAGAAACAATCGCCACAGCTGTCATGTTTTTGTGTTTACGTACAAAGTCTAAGATACTTATATGTACAAAAAGTAATCTGTAAGTTGCTATTTTATTGGTCGCTTCATTGAATTTTTACTAGAAAAATAAAAAAAGCACTATTTGTTTGTGTAATTCTATAAAAAAAATCTATGATCAGTTATCATTAATTCTGTTTCGTAAAATCATTATCTAACTTCCCACTTCCTATTGCAGAACTGCCGATGAATACATCCTGAGATACTTTGATCAAATGATGGGCGAAAACTCTTCAATATTACGAATATATGAACCAGAAAGAAGGTTTTACACTGTGTCATCAATCGTTAGGAAATATTGTCTCGTGGATGGTCAAAAATTCAAAACACCTACGGAAGATGACTTAGAGGGCAAAGCGGTGATTATTTCAACTCTGGAAATGTCGCTTGCACTAGCTGACTTCAAATCATTGCAATTTTCACACATCTTCATCGACGAAGCTGCCCAGGATCTCGAATGTAGAACAATCATGCCTTTCTGTCTAGCTTCCGAACGAACCGTTATTGTCATTGCTGGTGACCACAGACAAATGGTGGAAGAAGTTTACAGCGAAGAAGCCAAAGCTGACAAATTACATTTATCACTGGTGGAAAGATTGATAAATTTTTACAACAGCACGAAATCTATAAAATCGCCTACGATATTTCTAAACGAAAACTACAGAAATCATCCAGAAATATTATCATTTATCTCTCAAGTTTTTTATTCTGGAAAAGATGTATTAAAATCTAGACAAAAGCAAGTAATTGCAAAGCAGATAAAACCGTTGGAGTTTTTTGTCACTATGGGAGAAGAAATGCAAGATAAAAACAGTTCTAGCTATTATAATTTATCTGAAGTTGATGAAATTGTTGAAAGAGTTTATAAGTTGTTCAATGATTGGCCCATAGAATGGGGTGAACAGGATGCGAGTCAAATTTTGGTCACATCTCCTTATACTGATCAGGTTAATATCTCGTTTTATTTGTCTACATGATTTGAAATACTGTGACTTGAATAAATCAAAATTGTAAAGCGCAGACTTTCATTCTTGACTTTAAATAATAATCTATTTCAAATTTTACTCATCACCTTTAACGTTTTCAACAGTGAAACCCATCAATTTTTTTTATACAGTTTTCATTTTTTTCGTAGAATTTTTACTATTTTTTTTTATAGAATAATTATTATTTTTTCAATGAAACAAAGTCCAATAATACCAATTGATTATTTTATTATTTTTAAAACGAAGATCCAAAAAATAAGAATTGCTCTGAGAAGAAAGTCAACATATTTATCAGATGTAACAGTTGTCAGAGTACAAAACGTTCCAGGTTCTTAAAGATTTAATTTATATTTAAATTATTTAAATACAATATTACGTATTTATTTCAATTTATTTCATTTTTTTTATTATGCATAAATATGATATGTATAAAACATAAGGCAAAAATGGTAGTTTAAATAAATTGTGATACTGCTTTAGCGTATATTCCGATAAAAATGAAATTTCCGGGCGAATTTTTTGGCTTTGTTTGCAGTCAAGCCTAAACTTGATTATTTTTGTTATCTTGAATTCTATAACACTTTTGATTGAAACTGTGTTTATATATTTAAAAACCCTAACTAATAACGTAACCAAGGCGCCAGCTATTTTACCGTGGAAAGTAAAAAATTTGCACGATGACTTGCCGTTTCTCCAGATTATATGGGTGACGAGCAACAAATTTTGATAATGTAAACATTTATGACATTTTTTTGCTTCACATTATTTACACTCATGCGTTTAGTCTTAATAGAATTTATTTTATATAGTACCACTATTTTCCTGTTGATTTATTCATTTATTACATTTCTAACATAACAAAAATTAACTCTACCAGTTTAGCAATAGAGTGCTCATGGAAATTTATGGGTTTTATTTTAAAACTTTTTAAATGAGTTTTCTTCCACTTACCATTTTGTCCCTTTCAGCCTTTTTCCAAACCGATAAATGTTAAATGTCGACATGTCGTGATATCTTGTCAGGTTGTTAGTCTGGTTTCCACCTTACCTTTGTTAATTTTAGATATGATTCTAGACTTGTTAAATTGTTTAAGACATCTCTCATAACGTTCCAGTATTAAAAACACAACTGCTGAATGTTTAACGTTCATTTAAAATATACTTTATCGCAACGTCGTCACTCGTCAACACCATTCGGGTGAGTTACTTTTTTTCTGACACAATATAAATTATAAAAATTCTGCTGTTTCTAGGCAAACAGTTTTAAAAAAGGTAGTTTATCACATAGATTTTTTGTATTTAAAAAATTTGAAGGCACATATTTTTACATATCAAATATTCAATGACACATGTTATACATATCTACTGTTGCGATATTGTTTGTTAAACCAGTTTTTAAAAAACTTTTTATAATTTTTTAATAATAATAGTAGTAATAATAATTTATTATTATCACGCAAACAACTGTTAGAAAAAATAAATTTTCATTATTTCATTATTAAGGATTAGAATTTCAAGCGGTATTTCTTAGCACAGTTAGAAAAATAACCTCTTCTTCTGAAATTGAACAAATTGTACTCGTTGAAGAAGAGGAAGGTTTTTTATCTAATCCAAAAATGCTTAACTCAGCGTTCACCAGAGCCAAGTCTTACATTGGAGTTGCTGGAGATCCGGTTACGTTGTGTTCTATTGGCAAATGCGCAAAGATATGGGTGGAATATATTTTGAAATGCCAAGATCTTAATAGCATTTACCCTTCTGATTACAATCTAGAACTAATTAAATCTTTATATGTAACTTTGAAGGAAAAGTTAATTTTTTCAGATCGATATAATAATGTTCAATGCGAATTCATTGATGATGAAAACTTGTGGAAAGGTGGTTTTGAGATGGATTCTGATGAGATAATTAAACAACTTGTGGAAGAAACGTATGGAAAGAAATATCCTAACGATTTCCCCAAACAAGCAGCTCAAATACATTTTACAAGCACAAATGATCAAATTTTCATTGATGTGGATGGCTGTGAAGACACTATTAGCAATGATTTGTTTGATAATGAAGATCAAGTTCAATGTAATCAAACCATAGAACAATTAAATATCTTAATGAAAAATCAACCAGATAGATTCATAAAATGTCGTTTGCATTTGAAAACATCGATATTTGCTATACCTCTACAAAAGTCAGGTGGAATAAACAAAATAAACATATCTAGTATAAAACAATGTGGTCGAGCATTTGATTTAGATGATGTTGTGGTTGAAATATTACCCAAAGTGATGAGCAACCAATTTTCTTCTGGTGCTAAAGAATTTTTTACTGGAAGAGTTGTCGGCATAATAAATCACAGCATCGATTTAAAGCATAAGGTTTTCATCTGTTATATTGATAAAAACTGCTCAGGAGTAATGATACCGATAAACCGTGGGTTCCCAAAAATAAGCATAATTCAAAACAAAACGACAAATTCAAATATAAACAACTTTGTCAGTATATATAAATTCATTGAAAACAGAGCAACGTTTTTTAAGTACGACAAAACCAATTTGTCTGATTCTCATTCAAAATTGTATGCAGTTAGGTATTTGAAATGGGAAGAAAGATATAACACACCGTTAGGTGTAGTAATTGGAACTATTAGGCCCGGTATAACGGTAAAAGATTCATTAAAAATCTTAGAATTAGAGCATAATGTACCACATCATCTGAAAAACGAAAGTTTTGTAAAAATATCGGAAAATGATGAAAGAGACTTTAATAGAAAAAATTACAAAGACAAGTTGATTTTTACAATAGACGGAGTAACAACGCAAGATATAGATGACGCAATTGGGTTTGAAGATTTAGGAAATGGCATCATACTTATATCAATTCACATTTCAGATGTTTCCTTTTACGTGACAGATGGCGATTCAAATGATCTAGAGGCCAGAAAACGAGGGACATCATTTTATCCAGCATTGGGAAATACAATTCATATGCTACCGGAAAATCTAAGCACAGATCAATGCAGTTTGCTGCCAGGAAAATTAAGGAGAGCTTTATCCATTTTTATAAAAGTTTCATTGGATGGTGTAATAATGGAAGACACATTCAGCATAGAAAAAACTTGGATCATTTCCAAGTATCGATTGACTTACAGTGAAGCAGAACAAATGATTTGTGGACAGTGCGACTCTTCATTTCCCGAAAGTTTAATTAATGCAATAAAGTGCGTTGATAAGTTAACTGATGAATGGAGAAAAAAAAGACTGGGGTCAGATGCTTATTTCATTGAGTATGACTTATTTTCTCAAGATGGCCCAAAAGCTAGAAAATTAATTGAAGAATTGATGATCAAAGCTAACAGTACAGTGGCAGAGTTCCTTCTCAGCAAAAGAGCTAACGAAACACCTTTAAGAACGCAACATCCACCCAACGATGAAGAGCTTGATAGTTGGAAACAAATTTTCCAACCAATTTTGCCTTACATGGTTGGAGCGAGTAGGTTTTTGAAGCCGGATTATGAAGTATGTGAATGTCCTGATGTATGCACGTGCTTGGGCAATTCTAATATGTCAGAAAAAGTGCTTATACCGGACAATTTATTAAAAAGAATTTTGGGCTCTCTGGAAGAAGGGAACATAATGAATTTAAAAAACCTTATTTTTACTGCCAAATCCTACCCTCAAATGCTAGTTGCGCTTTACAAATTACAATTAATACAAAATAAATCCAACTATGTTTGTTCAGGCGATGTTTCAATTTGTGATAGAAAACATAACACTTTAAACATTGCAGCCTACACACATTTCACATCACCTATAAGAAGATACATTGATATTGTTGTGCACAGGATGGTTCATTCATGTTTAGATAAGAAACCTTGTTACAATCGAAATGAAATAAGAAGTATATGTAGTGAGTCTAATGAGGCAATGAATAGGGCGAAACGCTATGAAAGTGATACTTGGACAGTAGCTCTGTGCGACTTCTTGACTAAAAAGCCAATAAATATTGACTCCGTTGTCATTGATGTTGATGAAAGCAACATATCATGCCATGGAGCATTTTTGAGTCAGATACTCCCCAACATTATCCAAATCAAAAGTTCTTCAATGAATTTAACTGAACAACCTAAATTAAATGAATCCAATCGTATAATTTACAATTGGTCTCAAAGAATTTTTGACAATAGAAAGTCTGCTAACAATTTTCTAAAACTTTCTGAAGAAATAAAATTGAATTCAAAAAATCTAATTACTGAAGTTTTTGGAGAAATTTGGATAAGTATTTTAAAAATAGCAAAACATGGCAATTTAGAATGGCCAACATATTTACCGTTTCCAAAAGTAAAAACCAAAGAAACTGATGCAGAGCCTTCTTGTGAAGGAGATGTTCTTAGCAGACATAAACAGTTTTGTAAATATAGTTTGGAAGCAGAAAAATGTGACATTATAAAATTACAAATAGGTGCCAAATTACACAGAGGTCTAATGAAACCAGTGGTTCAATATTTTCCATGCACGCAAATGAGTGGGATCTGTTTAGAACACCAAGACAATCCGATTGAATGCTTTGCACAAAAAGCACACGTGCAGGCATCAAAGGACAAATATTCCAACATTGAAGACTATACAGAAAGCTGGATTCCAGTTTTGTTAATGGAAGCTGTCAGATCTGCAGTATCGAATGGAATATCTGAAATCATTCATAACGTTTATATTCAATGGAAAGAATTGCGTATGGAAGATAATTTAAAGTACATGGGGTATTTTTTTATAGATAGAAAATTTTGTGAAGAGAGAAAAATTGATTTTCTGTTAAGTGATGACACGTTAGATGAAGAATGCACAACAAACAAAATTCAAACATACATTTGTGTCAGATATAATCACTTAACGTACAATGCTCCTTCAACAAATATTCCACTTGGAAATGATTTATCAGATTCACAGCCTGTGACATGGATTGCACACTGTGTCTCTTTGAGTATAGTTATTAATAAGAACAAATACAAAGTTACTCTAATGATAAATCAACACTCGTCCCAATTTCCAAGAATTCTTCTAGACCCAACCGAAAAATTTACGGCCACAATAGAATGGATCACTCCTACAAAACCAATGAGGTAAGTGGACGTGCGTGTTTGTGTGTATAAGCGTGTGTGCATGAATGCTACCACGTGAAATTAAATAAAAATGTGCGTTTCCCCGAACATTTTAAATATAGCAAAAAGTAAATAAAGAAAAAACATTATAACGTAACTTTGTTGCTTTATTCAGAAATATGCTGAGATCATTGGAATTGCTGCCATTGTGCTCAGATTTAGTAAAAGGAATTGCTCTAGGTGATAAAATCTGTAAGCATAGTAGTGGAAATTTTACATTTTTTAAATTTTTTTTGATGACAAATATTTAAAAAATTTGATATAAGGTTTAAAGATATTAAATTATTCAAATCTTCCAACATTTGAATGCAAACGGCTGAAAAAGCTGAATAATGTGCAGGATGTTGCCTTGAATAAATCATTAAGATCAACATTTCACCTGATACAAGGCCCACCAGGAACAGGCAAAACATTGGTGGCAGCACATATGGCTTATGCATTTTTCAAAATTAATGAATCACACACAGACCCAAGCTTAAAAAAGCCTCAGCTTATGTGTTGTGGACCTTCTAATAAATCTGTCGATGTTATAACTTGTAAGTATTAATTCAATCAAATTTTATTTATTTGTACAAGTTTATCGTTTTTTTCAAGCTTACCTCATCCAGATATCTGATCCAACGCTGAAAATTTTAAGAGTGTATGGTAAAAAGCAAGAGTTAGAAGATTATCCAAATCCATTTTTCATGCCTCTAATAAAAAAAAAATACCGATTGAAAGATACAACTGCAGACAAGAAACTGAAAGATGTTTCTCTCCACCACATTATAAGAGATGCTAACAAATGTCCTTTTGCTCAAATAATCTTAAATTTAGAAGAATGGTTCATTCAGATTTATGACAATCCCACGAAAAATTACGATGAATTTATGAAAATTGATTCACAGTACAAAGAGATTATAAAGGATGCAGAGCAACAATTTTTGGAAGAAGCAGATATCATATTGATGACGTGTTCTGCCAATCAACCAAAGAGAATCGAAACGTTCAATATAAAACAGGTACAGTAATTTTTTTTATAACGTAGCAAATATACACACAGTTATAGAATTTTTTATTAGCAGTTTTATCTGGTTAATAATTTTATCTTAACGTCACAATGCAACATGTAATGATTCTCCCATTGTTTCATTGTTATTTTTTAGTTGTTTATTAATGTAGCCCATCTACTCGTATGTTAACACTTTTTTAATAAATTTTTTTGTTTAACAAGACCACATTAATTTAATAACTGTCCAAAGTTTTGTTTACGTTAAACAAGTAAAATGTAATGAAAATGCATTAGATTTTAAAAAATATTTGTTGGTTACATAAGACAAACTTCAAAAATATATGTGTTTGTGTGTGGGTGCTTGTGTGTGTGACTTTAATATAAAAGGCAGAGCATTTTATGCTTTGCTTACTTTGTAGCTAAACTTTTCTATTTTCACATGATATTCAATAAAATAGGTTCGTGAAAATCATCAACTAGTTCAACGATATTGTATTTTGTTGTTCTCAATACAGCTTATAATTGATGAATGTAGCATGAGTATGGAACCAGAAAGTATGTCTCCCATGATCCTGAACCATCCTGAGCAGATCATTCTCTTGGGGGATCACCAGCAATTGAAACCTGTTGTCACAGAGAAACTAGCGAGTCAACTTGGTTTAGAAACCTCTTTGTTTGAGAGATATCATGAAAATGCTTTCATGCTCACTAAACAATATAGAATGGTCTGTTTTACGTAATAACATTTTTACATTTTTTTCTTTTCACGTTTTTTTCTTTTATTTTAAAGCAAAAAAGTATCGCAGAATTTCCATCCAAACAATTTTATAAAAATCGTCTTGAAGTTGGAAATGAAAATCAAAATGATCCTTCTCAATATCTGTTTTGGCCTGGAGGACCGAAGCATCCAATAGTGTTTCTGCACAATGTTGGAGAAGAGAAGGGATTGAATGTGTCGTCAGAAGATGGAGGACAACAGTCCAAGAGCAACGAACTGGAAATAAATAATGCTGTAATAGTTTTTGTTTTTTATCGATTATTTTAAATACCAAATTCTTGGTAAAAGTGAAAATTAGATTTTATAAAAAGAACTTCTACAAAGCACGTCCAGTTGCTTTTGAACAAATTTTCAACATTTAATGTGCTAGGAATTTAATGATAACTGATAATCATTATTAACGCAATAAAGGGTTTAAAATACAACTAAATAAAAAAAGGGCATCGTATAATTCAAAATATTTTTATGTAAAACAATAAAAATGACAATTTTATTAAGATAAAATGATATGAAAAACTAAATTCTGGCAGTAACATAGCAATTTTCGTTAAAAAAAGTGACTGTATATACAAATGAGTTGAGACAACACGAAACGATGCACAGTTTACACTATTTTTATTAAAAGATTTGAGATCAAACACATTTATCAGAATTTTAACAATTAATATAATAAAAATACCGGGATCATAATTGTTAAGGCAAAAAGAGATGTATTATATACAATCGATATTCTACAAAAATATTGTCTCGCCACATTACACTTCATTATTCATTATCCTCTAAAAAATACATAAGCTGCGTTTGCAAATGAATTATTTTTATTTTATTATAAATTTACGTTTAAAGGGATAAAAATGGCAAAGTATTTGAAGGACCGGATATGTTAAAAAAATTAAATCGCTCTATCATGGCAGGAAACATTATTGAGAACCTGAAAATTTTGGAAGACTTCGTTCAGTAGTTTGTGTTCAGACTAGATGGTGATAAATTCGGTTTTAGAGTTTATTTTTATGAAACTTCATTTGAACTTATGTTTGTAGCAATCAATCGTAACAATTTGGTGAAAACCGTTTCTGAATTCATCTAAAAAATTTTAGTTTTATTGCATACATCCAAAAAAATATATCAACGCGTTGATTTGGGCATGGGCAGTCTTTGTAGAAAACTCAAATACAGGAACTCAAAAGAATGCGTTTGGCTTTGTGGCAAAAATTTACAAAAAGAGAGTTGAGCGTTTCAATTATGCAAAAATGTAATTTATGTTTAATCACGTTCCCTTAAGAGAACTTGGGCTATGAACTGTCCACAGCTGCACTTTAGGTGAACAGGCTGTCTGACCTGGTTGGAGGAGTTGTAAAAGAGTGAGCTTGTTTTAAACGTTTCAGATAATAACATTTGGTTAAATTTTGATTGAATAGTAGACAAATATTTGCAAAAATAAGGTAGACAATCGAGAAAAGTTGTGAGTTGTAGCTAAAAACTTAAATTGCAGACCTACAATTTTGTTAATACTTTTTATCCTCTAAGAAATATTTAGCTCTCAATTGATAATATTAATAAAGGAATTTTTTTCTGAATGATGATGATTTTTGCGTTTAATTATTTAGTTCAAATTTATTTTTATAATTAATTACATTAACTGTAAAAAAACTTGTTTTTATTGACCGTATGTCTAAATATCTTTTACAGGTGAACATTGCATTCAGACTTGTCCACAGATTCAAAATCAATCAATCCAGCATAGCAATATTATCTCAGTACAGAGCTCAATGTACGTTAATATCTAAAAACCTGATTTCAAAAAATTTAAGTGGAATAACTGTTCAAACTGTAGTGTCTGCTCAAGGTAGGCGTTTTACATAAATTTTTTTTACATTTTTCGGTTTTGCGATTTCATTGCGATTTCCCGTTTTATTGCGTAGGTTTATTTATGTTCAAAATTTTCTATTTGTTAAAAACAAACCTTTTAGTCAGTCCTTCTCTAGAAACTTCGTATAAATTTTGTTGTAAGTATATTTTGAATTGATGTTTAGTTTATTTACTCGATGATATCTCAAATGGACTAAAGAAACAGCTAAATGACGTTTAATTTCTTAAACGGAATTCAACCGATATTATTTGCCTCGGTGCTTAGAACGCCGCATAAAATTTTTCACTTCAATAAATCGTGTAAAAATGATAAATTAATAAGCTTTTCTAATGTGGCCGATAATTTAACTTCAGTTTGAACTTCAACTAACTCTAAACCTTGTCTTAAATAATATTATCACACACTTCCGAGTAAAGACAAGAGTTGTTTAAAAACACTAGTGGAAAATTCTATCTCGAATTTTATTCAATAAATATATACCTAAACTCCAAATAAAGTTATTCCATACATATTTTGAAACAGGGTGGTTTCTCAGCGTCGGACACCACTCGCTATTTATAATTGTTTTTTGGAGTTGAATAAGTGATATTTCCAAATTAGAAAACTTTAATCCTTTGCCATAGTATGGTTTGACAAAATTTGGCTAATACTTGTTTCATGATCGATTAACTTGTCTTTTGTGGTTACCACGAAAAACTCCTTCGTTGATAGCAGTTTTGCTTTAAAGTTATTTGCGATAAAATTGTAATTATTTTAATAAACTTTCGAAAATTTAACAGTATAATTTTAACAGTTCAATAATTTTCTGTGTTGTTTTTACAAAAAGGATCTGAATGGGATTACGTAATACTGTCTACGGTTAGATCACTTCCCGCCAGTGAAATAGAAAGAGAACCGAGCATCAAATGGAGGCAGAAACATTTGGGATTTATCATTGATTATCATCAAATAAATGTCGCCTTGACCAGATCCAGATTGGGACTAATTATACTAGGTGAACAAGAATTTTTTAATTTATTTTTTCAGTTCAGTTTTATAACCGAACTAAAGTTGTCATGCTTGCACATGTATGTATAATAATCTATTAGTATATGAATATGTGTGAGTTTAAAATCTAAGAGTAACTTCAAGGCATGACGAGTGATAAATTCCATGGTGGAGACTCAAATGCTAGTAAAAGAAAATATCGTCTTCTCGTGGACATATCGAGTATTCTTCTTGGGTCAACACCATGGTGGATGCTTGCATGTCATAAGAAGAAAAAGAGGAGGAGGCATGTCATAAGAGGGCTTGTTATCTCAAGCCCATGTCGAGTTTATACTATGGACAAATACCATGGTGGAAGCTCAAATGCCACATTTAGAAAACAAAGAGCACAGATGTGAAGTGCGATTTTGAGGCATTTGCTGAGGTGAGTCATCGGTTGGTAGAGTTGGCGGAGGTCTTATTTCCTGGATGATATCGGTTCATGGTGCCACCAGTCTGCAGTCTGATTGTTGAATCTATTTTCCGCCACCATGAAAACAACTAACACATGTAAATAATCTAATATTTAATACCTTTTCTATTGATCAATGACTCTTGACCTTGTGCTGCACTGATCCTCTGATGTGGCTCGATTGAAGCCCTCGTTCGATAGTGTAGGCCATGAGGATTTAATTCCTTTTATTTTTAAACCAGGCGGAAAAAACATCTACCCAAAAGTCATTAAATAAGTGCAAAGGCCGCGTTTGATAGTAACACAGTAAAAGCAGGGCAATAATTGATAAGAGGTTGTCTATGTTTTGGGCGGTGTCAAAAAAATTTTCTGACATCTCTTTCCGGGTGGCGTGTTTTAAATTGTATTTTTTTGTAGTTCATGTTTAAATAATTTATTGAAAGTACTTCTTTGTTAAATCAATGGTGAATAATGTTCATTTGTTTGTCTATATTTCGACACATTTTTATTTATATTGTGTTTTATATACTAAACAACTAAATGGTAACTTTTTGAAGTTATACTTCACCGCTTTTCAATTTTTTAAATTAAAATCTTACCTGCTACAAAGTTAATAAAATAAAAAACGTGAATATATAAATGCAGCTCATTGCCGTCTTGTTACGTATGTGAAAATCTTAAGGTTACATTCATCACAGAAGAGTTTTGGTTGGTCCGTGCAGATAGTGGAAGATAAACTTTATGCAACTTATTACCAACTTTACACACACACAACCAAACCAGCTGTATATGGTACTTTGTTAATAAAAATAATAAAAATAGCTATTAATTTATTCCGTTTTCTTATTAAAACTAAGCAAACTGTTAGAGCATTTAGTTGATGAAATATATTGTAACCTCATGTTTAATCGAATAGGAAATTTTTGATTCGATAATAATTAATTTTCCAGGAAACAAGTTGCTCTTGAGAACTGACGCGATGTGGCGTAACCTGCTGGAGCACTATGAAAGCAAATCTGCATTGATAGAAGCTAAAGACTTCAAATTGTTTTGAATCAGTTGAACAATTTAATTTATTAAAAATAGAGACATCTATCACTGAATTATTTTATCATGTTTGATCAATGATTCTGTTTTACTAATTTTTTTATATTTTAAAAACTCTTTTAAACACATTTTAATCAGTTTTTATCAGTTTTTCAACACTTACTCAATAATCCAAAATCTAAATTTTGGAAATAAAGCGGAGAACTTCATTCTCTTTCTATTTTAAAAGTGGCCAAAAAATAAATTTAAAAAAGTAATTACTAGGAATGCTTATTTTAGATTTAATAAGACTAATTCTATCAGATTGCAAACTTTTTTGTTTTATAAATTTATTGATTATTTTTGCTGTTTGTTGGGTTTATTATTTATATTTTAAATTATTTTTGTATTGACCGGTTATTTGTTAACATATTGTTTCGTTGGTTTGGCACTTAATTGATTATTTGATTGCTTCTTTTATTATAAGTTGATTGCCTGATTGTTATATTGTTTATTTTAAAGATTTAATTATTTTTTGATTGATTTCTTGGACTGAATGATTTTTCGTTTGTTTGGTACATAATTTTATTATTTTATAGTTAATTCTGTTAACCAATTCGTTAGTTTAGGGTACCTGCAAATTTTAATGTTTTCAATAGTTTTGTTCATTGAATTTTCATGCATGCATTTTTCCTTATTTTCTTTTATTTTACCTTTTTGTACTTCACAATTGTTTGTTTTGCGAATTTTCGGTCATCAAGAGAGTGCTGAAAAACTGCCCCAAATCTTTAATTTTTTTGACAAATTATGGCATATCATATTGAAATTATTTAATCAATGTTGAGTTATTTTAAACATGTTTTTTTTCTTTACAAATCTGCCTTACACGTCTGCAAATTTTAACTTGAAAAACGTATTGAAGAAAAATAGAATACAATGTCAAAAAAGTGAACGCGGTCGGCTCAGGAGGTTCTGCAATTCAAATAATTGATTAATAATCAATTATTTCTCAATAATCAATGATTATTGAGATAAGTGGTAAAACCATTCCGCAACTTTATGTAACGATGTTCTATATAATATATATAATAAACAACAAATGCTAATTATATTTTATAATAACTTTCCATACAATAAATTTGTCGGTTGTAGATTCTGACTTTATTAAACTAACGGGATAAATTTCCGTTTTATATTGCTTAACGAAAAAAGTGCTAGTTAGAGAGCCGCTAGTTATATTATATCTTTTTATTCTTTTTTAAGATGTACTTACTAATTATTTAACATTACCGGTAGTATTTCAATCGATAAAACAAATTTTTTTGGTGTCATTTTATTTTGTTTGGCAATCCAGTAAACCTTTACTACCTGCTGCGGTAAATAAAAGCACTGCTTATATTTAAGTTGCTTAGGCGAATCTTTATATTTTCCTTTATTTTTGGTGCCGTTGTTAATATCAATCAGAAAACATCATCTCATAATTGAGGAATTTACAGTTCATAACTTGAAATTGTATATACTTGAATGAAGTATAAAGTTTTTATATCAACTGTTTATCTAAAAATTATTTAGTTTTTATTTAATGAAATCAGTAAAAAAAATAGTGAAAACATATTACAATAATTTTAGCTTGGAGTTTTTTTTTATAGGATATTTTTCGAAAGTCTTTGAGCTAAATCTAAAAAAATATGATTTTATTTTAGCATTACAATATATATAAAAATTGAACCAAATTTATCAATAAACTTACAAATATATTTAATTCTTCCCTTTTTGTCAACATTTGCATGTTTCAGCAGTTCAAATATTTCATCGTCACTCAGTGGTTCTCCCTTGTTCATGAGCACGCGTTTTAAATCGTTCATCATTATGTAGCCTTTTTTGAAAAGTTTATGGAACGATGATAATAGAAGTGAACAAATACTAAATAATAATAAAAATAGAAGTTTGTGTCAAACTTTAGGTGATTTTTATTATTTATCGCTCTGACAGACAGTTTGTAACTTTGATTGTATTTATTGTTGCACTTTGGTACACAGTGACGCCTGGACAACAGCAATAATTAACAAGAGCACAATCCATTTTTGAAATAACTTTACTGGAAAAACTATTGTTGATAAATGAATCAATCAATTAAGGCTCTATCAGGAACTTTGTATGCTGGAAGCTCTTCGAATGTATCTGATCTAGGCAACTGACTGAGGTAGGTATGGGAGTAGGCAGAAGCAAAACAAAAATTTACAGAAAGGAAAACCATGAAAGGCAAAAGCAGATTTGGTGTAAGAATGTTTACATAATTTAAAAAAATGTAAAAGCAGTAAAAAATTTAGTTTAAATATCTGACGAATGCTCGGAAATAAGTTAATATATAGTTTACAAACTGGTCAAACCAGCAGCATAATTTAATTGTTTAGTTAAAAAATATATGATGAAGTCATGAAAATTTGTAATTTAACAAAAATGAAAATGGGACTAAAATTTGTTAATTTTGCTTGTAAATGAAATAATGGAATCATTTCAGCATGAAACATGAAACGAAAAATTTAAAAACCACCGCAATCCAACTAAGAAAATAATCCAACTTTGATTTCTAGCCATCTCGTACAACAACATTTGACTAGACCAAAATGAAAATTTTTCAAGTGTATGCCGCGCTGTTTAAAAGCGATATTGTTTTTGTACCTGTATTGGCGGGATCAAAGAAATGAAAGGCTCTCAAGAGATTCTCATAGCAATCATTGTCTTGAATGCTCTCGAAACTTTTCAACACGTCCATCACAGTTTGAAATGATAAGCTTTCGTCCTCCACTTGAATGATACAATTAATACATTTATTATTCAAGTTATATATTTATTATTTTTTATAAATAATCTTTTTAATAATAAGAAAAAGCGAACAAATACTTAATTACCGAGCATTGAAGCATTGAAATTGATGGATAGCATTATTAAGAAAAATCTGACCAAATTGGTTGAGTTGCCCTTGAATTAGTTGCACCTGTGCTTCGCTGGGGTTGAGTCCCATTGACCTGATGAAGGCACCAACTTCATCCACGTTGATCGTGTTGTCGTTCGATTTTGAAAAAGTAGAAAATATGTCCTGAGCCTCTGTGTTTATACAAATTAAAAGTTTTCTATCTCTGCTTCTTGTATGAAAATTTGATTTGTGTATGAAAAGCTTTCATAAGATATGTGATAATGATAATTATATGAGTAATTGAACGAAAAATATTTACTTGCTAACAGTATTTTTCTCTTTGTTTTTTCATCCTGAATATTTTCGATAACATAAAACAATTTTACATCTCAATTATGTAATAAATGAAAAGTTATGATAATCAAATTTTAATTTTCAATGAATAACATATTTGTCAAAAAAATAAATAACTGTAAAGGCTCAATATTGTAAATTAAACTCATCCGTTTTATATTTTCTTAAATATTTGTATTAATTGATAACCACGTATGTAAATTTATAAAAACAATGTGTGTCATAAGGTGTCAGGTTATGTAGCAAATAAAAAACTTGTATTTTGATAAAATCAATCAGTTATAATAATAATTAATATGTTTTATTCATTGCAACATATCATCTCACCTCGTTCGACATTTTTCAAAATGATGTCGTTGCAGCAAGGCAACACTCGTGCAAATGAAGATCGAACGGTTGAATTATTTATTTACCTCCACTTCCAAGCCAACTACGTTTTATTCGCAGCATACATTATAACGCACTTGATTGCATTTGTGTCATTGCCTATGTTATATCAATTTTGGGAGATAAAATTGGAAATGTCCAACTTTCCAGTGCTTAAAATAATAGGCAAAAAAAAATAGGCATATTGAACTTTTTGTAAAACGGCTTGTGCTCTGAGCTGTGTGTGCATATTTGAACTAGAACCCCAAGCAGAGAAAATTTTTCCGAACCGCATCCGCACCGCACCCGCGAAAAGGCAACCTAAATCAGTTGTCCTTATCTCATACTTAAAATAACAGGGTAGCAATACATTGGTGAGCAACTTATTTACAATATAATTATAATCAAACAGTAGATAATCGGCTGAGAAGAATTCAATAAATTTCTAAATAACATTGATCATAACATATGCATATATATATATATATATATATATATATATATATATATATATATATATATATATATATATATATATATATATATATATATATATATATATATATATATATATATATATATATATATATATATATATATATATATATATATATATATATATATATATATATATATATATATATATATATATATATATATATATATATATATTTACAATATTCTATAAATTCTACCGAATGTTTGGCATTAATATGTTTGTAGTTTGTTTTTTCGATTTTTCTCAAAAACGAACTACAAACATATTAACGCCACACATTCGGTAGAATTTATAGAATATTGTAAAAATTATGGTCTATTACCAACACACACACACACACACACACACACACACACACACACACACACACATATATATATATATATATATATATATATATATATATATATATATATATATATATTATTGAGGAAAATCACATCATGTTCGGCGTTAGTTAACATCTGTGATTTTCATCAATAATTGCAGTTCTGACAGTCTTAATCCAATATATATATATATATTATATATATATATATATATATATATATATTTAGGAACGAGGCTCTCTTTAATACAAATGTCATTAAAAATGGTTGCCCAGTACTGTCAGCCAAGCTCAATAATAATTTTCCTCTCAATAAATATGAATTCAACAAACTCAGAAGTATTGAGGTTTTAATAAAAAAGATTATAAACGCACGCTGGGCAACCATTTTAAATGACATATATATATATATATATATATATATATATATATATATGACATATATATATATGACATATATATATATATATATATACATATATATATATATATATATATAATATACATATATATTTATCTATATATATTTGCTGGTCGTACCAAAATATATATATATGTATGTACAGTAAATATATAAATGTATATTAATTTGTTAATACGTATGTGTGTATCGTATATCTGTATGTGTATACTAGAGCCATGGGCTTCTAAATAGTACAACAGGACGGACAAGCGTTTTAACTAGGTTACATATCTCGGCGGACGGTTAAACGAACCTTTTCAGCCCGTACGCTATCGAAATTGTAACAAAACACAACAATAAATTCAGTTATTCAATTTTTTTATTTTATTTTTTGTTATTTTAACGTTTGGTAAAGATTTAACATAATTTTTGCTTAATCAGTTAAAAAAGGGATTTGCACAATTATAATTGTAGATCATGAAAATTATCACAATAATTAGAAAAAAAATAATAAAGAATCAAATTTTTCAAAATTCGTTCTTTTTACTATTTTTTGAAAAAGAATACCTTGATTTTTTGCCTTTAAAAATTTATTAAACAATTGTTAAGATTTTTTCATCTTTTGAAAAATACTGAATATTTTTAAACATGTTATTCAGGCATATTCAGATGGATTAGTCCTCTCTTAGTGACTTGATTCAAATACCTGAAATCTGAATTTAAGTCATTTTCTTTTTCGTCAGAGATCAAATATTTTCTACGTGACTGGTATTTTGTGGTGTTGCAGACAGAATGGATGATGGCGCCACAGACATAGGACAGTGTGGCGCATGATCATTTATCATCATCATCATCATTTATTTCACTGATTGTGATGCATTCAGATATATCATCAGCAACATCATTCAAATCATCATAATTTGTTTCATCGTTTATCGAAAAATCTGAGCGTCTTGAAAGTGAAATAGTTCTAATTTTTCTATCACTGTCAAATGCCTGCCTACAAGATATATAATAATAATTGCTGCCTGCCATTTTCCTCATCCATCCAAATCTAGATTCAATTGAATCAGATTGTATGTTACCAGACAGGAGGAAGCTATTTTTTCAACTGTATACGAATCAAATTTAAACTATAATACTTGCTATAAAAAAATAGAAAGAAATAATAAACTTTTGTATTTATAGACTTTATAGAAAAATGATTGAAATGTGATGGGCCGTTTCCTCTATTTCCGCTGGTAAGGATTTGTTTTAAGTATCACTTATAACCCCATCAATTCACGGAAAGTTGACAAAGTTTTTTGTTTCTACTTTTTTTTTACACAATAAGTAGTTTTTTCATTTGCGTCCCTATTTTGTCATTTCGGTACTTGCAAAAAGATTAAATTCATTCAATATTGAGAATTAAAAATAAATAATATTGTTATAACTTTGAACATTTACTTTTAAATAATTTATCAAATTTAGACAATAGTTACTAACTTTAGTTAGTTATAAAATAAAAAATCTCATTATCATGTCAGGTTGTTCCAACCACAGCAGTTATTACTCACGCTTGCCTGCATGGTTTTATTGTAATATATTATAAATTTAATATGCGTGCGTGTATATATTCTATTTATATCATAAAATAACAAAAATAATATAATATATCATAGTAATGAAAGAAAAACATAAGCTACAAAAAAAATTGAAAGTCTAGAGATTTAATAAAATTTTTTTAACCAAAAAATTATTACAGAATAAACTCTTACATGTTACAATAATAAAAAATTTCCTAAAATTATTATATGTGTATGATATTTAAAATATGGATTATTTATATTCAAAATCAATAATTGTTTAATAATTGAAACATATGGGATCTTTGGTAAATTATAATCGTTTTCAGACGTCCATCTTGTTTCGGTAGACCCGTGTTAGTTGCTTTATCTAATTTATGTAGGCTGAATTTCGTCAATACTTGCAAATCGTAATTTGTCAATGGGACTGAACGAGTTTACATGCGATGAAAATATGACAACAAATTCTAAAGACATTGAATCCGATATCAGTAACTTCGTCACTAAAATGAACGCCGATCGCACTAAGCAGCAGGAAAAGGCTGAAGGCTTGAAAGATCTCTGTAACGAATTTGTGAGATTTTTGTTCAAAACATTAAAATTGTACTTTATTACAATATCATATTATCCGTCCTAATACTTTTTGCTTGCTAGGTTTTACAGTTGCTGGACACAGTCGAAAGTGTTATGACGGATGTATATTCAACTTCAAACGAGATTGCGCAGAACCGGTTTACTGATATTTCTAAGGTGATTCAAAACATTAAGTACATGGAAGAAGAAAAAGAAAACTTCAAAGAAAATCTAAAAAATTTCAACAACAATTTCAATGGGACCACTTCATGATCTTTTTTGCTGACACTGTTTAGTTATTTGAATTTTTAATCTTAAAGAAAAACCTATTCAAGATTGTTATTCACCCTGTTTAGGTAGACATTCCCAATGCATTATTGAACAGTTGAATAGAACATAAAAATTATTCATTTTGTGTTGAAAAGTAGTCTAGGTCCGCATTTCCGAACCAATTTAGAATTTACTGTTTTGACTGGGCCAATCATCTTTATGTACACATTATCGAATATATGTAGATTGCATTTGACCACCGAAGCAAGTACGAAATTTTAACTCTCCTATGTATAGGGCTAAAGAAACTAAAAACGCACAAATCTACTCCACTCCAAGTGCATCACATTTTATTCTCACTCCACTTCATTTGCAAACTGTGTTGTCAAAGTATTTTTTTCAGCCAACCAAAAATCTTTTTTATAAAACAATTGTATTTAAATCAAAACTTCCAGTCCAGTGTTCTTGTTCTCACTTCTTAACTGTTTTTTGCTAAATCTGCATTTGCTTTTTTTGGTCCTTTTCTCTGGAATTCTCTACCTACTTCTCCATCACTTACGAAGTTCAGAGCGGATCTCAAGACCCATCTGTTTGCAAAATTCATTGAAGAGCACTGTTGAACATCGCGGAAATAGCACTTTATAAGCATATTGATTGGTGTAATCTCTTTCAAGCATTCAGACCTTGCTTATGTAAAAGCTACTGAAATGATAATCCTTGACAGGCGGATTTTAGCTGACCAATTGAAACTAAAAATTGTAAGCTCTAACTTTGAACTTGCAGATTCATTTCAAACTGGTCTAGTTTCTTCTAGACTTGAGAAAAAAACAGTAAAAATTAAGAATTTATGGCAGCAATACTAAGACAAAACAAACACAAAGAGCTCCCCAAACATTTTAATTGAATGATTGCAAACGCAACAAGATTCATTTTCTTTTTCACATTAGCTCCACAAGCATAACAATATCATGATGTCATGCATTATCAGTTATATTAGAAGCTTCAACAGTTTAGCTTGACCTCTGGGCCAACTCTTTAGCCTTGGCCTTTTCCAATTTGGCAATACGGGCTTGGGATTTGTGGCCCATAACACCTCCACCCCAGTGGCGACGAATCTGTTTGTGGTCAACAATACCGGTTTTAATGATAAATTAAATTTGAAATGAGGATGATAATTGAACACATTTAGTTTATCGGGTGGGTGTAAATTTGCACATGGATTATTATAACTATTTGTATTTATAGAAAAAAATGCCCACTTCTTCGGCTCTTTCATTGAAGTCAGTCTTCACAGTTTCAACTAATTTGTTCAATGCTGACCTGTCTTCTCTAATAGTAAAAAAGTAAAAAGATTTATATTACTTAATTTTCAAACAAAAATTTACTAACAAGAGTGAATTGACTTCTATCTAAGCATTCGCAATACCAGAAACCAAATTTCATTTTCTCACAGCATTAAATGCTATTATAGAGTTTAGAAAGAACAAACATTCTGTTTAAGACTATTTAGTTAGATCACTGACTAAAATCTTTAGCAATTATAATCAGATACACCAGCTTCATTTCAAAAATTTTAATTTTAGATACAATTCCCTTATTATGAACACCCCTGCAATTTTTATAATCTCACAAGGTAGTTGTAAAGTAAAGCAATCTGAAAAAATTGCATGAACAATAAGATACAAAAAATTGTATATATATAACCAAATGCAACACTAGCTGAAAAGGTTTTTTAATGCAAAAAGTATTTTTTTAAATTTTTTTAAATTAGACATTTGAATTTCACATCAAATTTTGTAAAATATCAAAAAATGTTAGATTGGCTTATCCAGAGAATATTTATTTTAATATCAAATGTCTGTTTGATTGTTGTCACAAAGCTTTTACCTTAAAAAAATCTATGTAAATGTTTACAAATAAATAAAATACTAACGAGTTGACTGTTGGAAATGCAAGACATGTAACTGTCTTCCTGTGGACAACTCTACCTAGTCGAGATTTGTTTTTGACGATGCAATAGGCAACACCCATTTTTCTGCACAAAGCAGGCAGGAATAGAACTATCTATGTAAGTATTTTTATCATTCAAGTCATTTTGTATAAACAGTAAAAACTAAATAATATACAGCAGCACCGACGACCATTGTGAAAGCTCAGTGGATTTATTCAACATTTGTTATCTGTTAGTTGTAGAAACAAAACATCCTTGCTTTCTCAAGGATGTAATTCTTCCTTGCACAGTAAATAATACAGAAACAGAAGATTCTAAAGGGCCAATGGCATTTTATAAACCAATCTTTAAATAAATAATGCATTTAACAGACAAAGTGCATGCGAACTAATTGCTCGTGACCAGCAAAATATATGATCTATAACAAAAACATAATTCAAGACAACTTTTAATAACCATTCATTAGGATTCAACTAACTCACAATCCATTATAAAGGGACATGAACACTGTCACACCAATTGTTAATGACAACTATATTTAAGGATATGAATAATATCAAAAACAGTGAAAAATTCCATTTGATGTGAGCTCAGATTTAAAAAGCTCAAATTTATATGAATCATGTTGAATCAAATAAAAATGTTTTCATCACAGCTCACATTAACAAATTATATGAACTATGATAATTGTGAAACACACCTCGATAGGATCAACATCGCTGGCAATAACAACCAGATCAGTTTTCTTTCTTTCAACGAGAGCTGTGACTGTGTTGATGCCTGATCTCATCACTGGTGGTCTCTTTGTCTGCTCAACACTCTTTCCTTTCACCTTGTTCTTTGCCATCTCAACAAGTCTTATTTTTTTCTCAACTTTTGTCTCTGGTTTATATTTATCCATCAGTCGGAATAACTGGGTGACTGAAAAATCAACAATGTATGAGTTTAATATATTACTAGATAGAAAAATTTGTTACCATTCTGCCTATCAAGAGCCTGGTTGAACTGATGAATTGGTGGTGGCACCTTGAGACGTTGGTATAAAATACGTTTTTGCCTTTGCAAACGAATGTACTTGGGCCATCTCACAAATCTGGACAAATCTCTCTTGGGTTGAATGTCTTGGCCTTGACAAAAGGAATCATATTTTAATGCTTAAAATGCAATTATATTATACATTGAAAAAAAATAACAGTTCCTATTAGTGATTTTATATAAAAATTTTTTCCAATTAGAGTAGTAATTTAAATAATTAAGTATTTTAAGTAATGAAATTCAAGATATGCAATAAACCTGTTATTCACAACATAAAAGTAAAATTATTATAAACAAGGAGATAATTTTAACACATAATTTTACTTTTATCAATCAATTGATTGATTAATTGATAAAAGTAAAATTATGTGTTAAAATAAAAATATAATTCATTGAAAATCAGTTAGATCAAGATGCTTATAAATGGGTGTTTTAACATTGTACACTTAATATATAACTGAATATTTTATCTTCAACTATTTTTAATTATGATAATAAAAATTAACATAATTAAGCTAAAATAAAATGAATATTGCTAGATCAGTAAAATAAAGCCACACCCATCTATACAATTACCATATAAATTTAAAAATGGTCAAGCTTTCTCGGGTAGTAAACTAAACCTAGCCCGGCATGATTATTCTTTCCTTGTTTGTAAGATTATTAGGCAGTGTTTTTCTCTAACGCCGAACTTATTACTCTGAGACTATCTCTAAAAAGTCTATCTAAATACTAATTAAGCTAAAAAGCTTCATTTAGAGATCATTAGGCTCTAGCTAGGTGAATAGCCAGATATCTCTTCTAGCCTTACTCCAGTACAGATTAAACTCATTGATAAGCCATTCACATTTTATGTATATTGATATCGTGGTTACTAGTTGCTAATTTTGCCTGACTTGACAGGAATAATAATAGTAAAAAAATAACAATATTTGGGTTTAACAAGCATTAGCAAAGCTAAAAATCCAAATGGTTAACGCTAAAGAAAATTCAAATTGGCTTGCAAGATTGATAAATTTAAAAAAAAGTCCAACCAATTCCAAAGTTCTTGGCCCTCTTTTCAAACAGCGGATTTACTGTTTTCTTTACTTCCACTTTTTTCGTGGTAACCGGGACGGCCGCCACCTTCTTTTTGCCCTTCTTTGGCTTGGTCGGCTAAAAAAATAAAACATTTTCAAGGCTACTTTAAAATTAAATGATAAAAACAATGCAAAAATTTTGTAAAATGCATTAATTAAATTGATCAGAACGGATTTTAAAAACTACCACTCACCATGTTTATTAAACAAAAAAGAAAAAGGAGGAAGAAGGTTGTAACTAGCAAACACTTAAAAAGGATGGACCAACAAAATTAATTTTCCATTGAAATTTGTTGAAAATCAGTAAAATGTACAAATAGTTAAAATTAATTAATTTTTAAAAATATTTTTATACTGTTTGAATTATATTGATTAACATTTGATAATTTAGTTTTAACCAAAAAATTTTAGTGTAATTTTCAAATTTATTTTGCCAACTACATTTAATTCACCAATAAAATATTACGACTTAAATTTTATTACATATTTTCATTTGGTTAACGCAACATTATCAATATGCGTTTAAATGATCTATTCACATTTTCTCAATATACTCAAATATGCTATGGACGTAGCGTATACCTATACATACAATTACTGAACCCTTGAGACCTAACTCAGTCATCGAATAAACCTTACGGTGGTTCTCAATATGTGGGTTGCTAGTTCGCTGGATTTCTAATGATAATTTGCTACAGTTGGTTGCCTATGTCAGAGCTGCATGCATAGAGGGAGGGGAGCCTAGGGAATGGAAGCCAGCATAATTTTAGCCACACTAGCGAACATTTTGGGTAATTTTTTTGGTTGCATATAAAAATAAAGAACATGAAAATAATAATTATATACTGTTATATACGCACCAGATTATTAACGTTTGTCTTATTAAAAGTAAGTTAAATTTTAAAAATTTAGTTCAGTTTTTGTTAGATTTTTTGCAAATTCAAATTAAATTTGTTTTTGCGATGGTACCCAGGACTGGATCAAGGCTCTAGCGCATTGAATTATATATAAGAATGGCTTTATAGTGTTGACCTTCATCCCAAGGTCAGGAAACTTGGAAGCAAACTTTTTTAGCACCAAATTGTCAATGGGTTTTTCCGTTTTCCAATCTATATTTACCTTCTTCCCTGTTAATGTGCCACCGGCGGCATTCTTGTAAACGTTTTTTTGCTGCTAAAATCGTTCTGCGGCAGTTTTAATCGATTTTTAACTTAATAATTTAACTGAATTATGTAAAATTTTTGGAATCATTTACTATTTGATCCATTTTGATTTTATAAAGTTTATTTGTTTAAAAGTTTTAAAAATGTTACATTGTGCCAGGAGACACTAGGCCCAGACTAGTAGAAGAAAAGAGGCTTTGCTTTTTTGTATTTTTATTTAAAATTTTTGACTTTATTTTTTTAACTATCGTTAATTAATGTTCAAATATTTTTTATATTGTTTTTATATTATAGTGGGTTTATTATTATTAGGATGCCTTTGTAAAATGGCTTTTTGTCATAAGAAATACAGAATACAAAGAGTTTCTTTATTTTAATTTATTGGGTATATATATATTTATATATATATATATTATATATATATATATATATGTATGATGAAAAATTTTAAATGCAGCTATTTACTTTAAAACTTAAATCATATTTAGATGTTTTGCTCAATGGATGCACATCTCATCAAGCAACAGCAAAGGCAATCAAAGTATTACAAGTCCAGAATCACAATGCTGCAGGCAACAATAAGAAAACTTACGAATGAATATAATAAATTAAAAAATGAATAG